TCATTAAATCCATTGACATTTTTTGTGCCTCACCAGCATCCACGGCTATATGTTCAAGCACGGACCAACGTAAGATCCGTCACGGCGGAACTAGGCCAATTCATGACCATATCCACCGTCGCCTCGGCGATGACTACCATTATCGTCATTACCGCGACAAATCTAAAACGAAAACGAAAACAAAAACTCCAGTCATCCTTGTTCATCCGAAATTCCCATTAGCCCAAGACATTATTTTGAAAAGTATAGGAAGAGTACATCTTCTTATTCATCAACGACTACAAAGAAAGCCTTGAATTTCTACAAAGCTAAGCCTTGAATTTCTACAAAGAAAAAGCTCGGCTGACGTCACTGACCTCTATAGTACTTCTCGGGGTAATTCATCTTCGTCGTCGTCGAAATATTTGTTGTGTGATACTCCGTTATTACTCGAAATATATCCCGACGACGATTTTCATCTGCCTCCACCACCGCCGCCTCCGCCGTTAATTTTCATCATCACCGTTATAATTCTTCTTCCAAAATGGATGTCAACCATCCTAGACAACCTTTGAAGAACATTATTAATTCTTCCAAAAGGCATAATGATTTGAAGGAATCTCCTGTCTTTAGAACTTCTAATTCCTTGACCAACTACTCGTACGATGATAATCCTGTTTTTGAAATCTCTTCTTCTTCATCATTAATTGTCGTCCCGTAGAAGTGTTGATTTACATGGTCAGAATTCAGAAACATTCATCTTCATTGTCTCGTGTGAATCATCATCATCAACCTCAACATCATCATGTTCATAGTCAAAAATCATGGGTACGTCATGACTTCCATGTCTAAAAATCTTCATTGTCTCGCGTGAGCAATTCTTCACACGCGACTAAACCATCATCATCGTCATCATCATTGACAACATACAAAGATGAATTCCTTTGTAGATTTTTGAGTTTAAATTTTTATTTTTAGTTCAAATTATATTAAAAGACAACATCCAAACAAAGCAATCATTTAGAACAAGAGGAGTATTACATACACTTCGCGCCATAAAAAGTCTTTTTAAGCAATTCTTCTTCTACCATGACAATTCTCTTTGCCCTAAAATAAATATATTAAAAAAAATACCATCCTAATCATCTCCCACATCATTGATAGGTGATAGAAATTTTTTTTAACGAATAATGTTAGTTGATAAATTGGTTTCTATGTGGTCACATTGGATGCAAATTAAATAGGTTGGATTAATATTATCCCTCTGAGTTGTAGTTAATCACATTGCCACATGATAATCGATCGATTAAAGAAATTCAGTAAAATGAAGCCAAATGTTTTTAATTAATTGAGAGAGCAATACTCACAAACATGAACATATAAATACTCCCTCCGACTCAAAATAATAATCCATATTAAGTTTTTAAGATTTGTATTAATTTTTTAAAAATTTAATGTGAACTATATTTTTTAAACAGATAGAGTACATTTTACTTGCTCAAGAAAAGTTCTCTCCAAAATTTAATCCATACGATTATGGTTTTTAAGAGCCCACAGTTCACACAGCAACTAGTTCTTGGGTATCCTTATCTTAACACTCCCTATTGGGAGAACTAAAAGCTAATAGTCTTCCGTTCCAAAATGATCATATTTTGACATAGAGAGTCTATCAAATAAAGAAAAAAAAAAGATTGCTCAATTGGGAGACTTTTATAATTGGAAAACAATTTGGTGGTGACCGTAATCATGAGGTAAAATTTAAAGAGATTTCAAAAATATTTATTTATCTTTTACCATGAGCTATATTAATGAACGATTTTTATTTTAAGGCATATGGTGAAAAGCCATTTCATGAAGTATTGGCCATTTCTAGCAAACCATTAATCAAGAATATTTACATATAAAAGATAATACTGGCGTAGGTTATGAACGGTTTCAATTCGTAGATCTTCTTATTGATAGTTTGCTATTACTATACAATGGTGAACAAAGTAAAAATTGTTTTTTAGGTACTTGGTTGAGTAGTTGATAGCATCCATTCTCAATACAACACTTTAATTGAATAGTTAAGTGGTTATTTATATTTTTCGTGAAAAAACAGAAAATACTAAATTTTGATAGCAAACTAGTTTTCTGTTATAAATAAATACTCTCTCTGTTTCAAAATTATTGTGCAGTTTGGATTTTTATATTAGACAATAATTTTGGGACTGGGGAAATATTATTTATGATTGCGTATTTCGTTAGTGTTTATTTTTATTATATATGCATATTACGCACCGGGTTCATCAAAGGATAAACAGCCGCAGGTTCCATGGTTCACCAGTGACTACTCTTGCTCCTCTATTTAGTTAGTAGTCATCATTTTTTTACTTTTAAATTTTAGCTCTGGTTCGATGACAAAAAAAAGGGGGTAAGAAAATTAATAATCTGGCTCTAGGCAGTAAGGTAGAAATTGTAAAAAAAGAGAATAGTTAAAAAGATTTTGATAACAGGATGTTGAATCACTTTGTGCAAGAGTTCAAGATGAAGAACGAGGGCATAACTTGAAACACTACAGGTTCGAGATGGTTGTAAACGGCTTGTGAAAGGGCAAAGAGGACTCTGTCTTTCACTGCTCAAACTACGATTGAAATTGATTCTCTTCGAGGGTATTGACTTCTACTCTAAAATCACCAGAGCTAGATTTGAGGAGTTGAATGTGGATTTTTTCAGGAAGTGTCCAAAACTAAATTGATCAATTTTTACTTTGATTTTGAGTTCTTGGTGTAAGTCGATTATTATATTATTCAATGAGACCTAACAATCACCGTTTCCCTTCAAAAGTTAAACCACATTAGTGCTTGCTCGATTTCTATATAGCAGGCTCCCAAACTCCAAAAGTTTTGTTCTAAGTTTCTCAGATAAACTGTTACTCCCTTCGTCCCATAATTATTGTCCAGTTTTACTAAAATGAAAAATTTTATTTTTAGTCAAACTTAACTATATTTTACCTTGAATAACCGGATATACTCCTACATAAGTAATTGTTTAACCACAAAGATTTTATGGATAATGTTTTTTACTAAGGACAAATGTGTAACTTGATCCATAAAAAGTCAAATTGGACAATAATTTTGGAAAAAATTTTTTTAGGCAAAGTGGACAATAATTATGGGACGGAGGGAGTACAAAACAAGTGCTCTATTCTATTGCCGTTCACTTTAAACGCAAACCAATTCAAAATGCTTAATAGTTTTTAAAAATTAATTAAAAAATAAGTTTAATACACTTTTGTACAAAAGAATTATTCACTTTTTTCCAAATACTAGACGTAGCTGTTTCGTTTTGGACCCATCTGTATTTGAGCACCCATCTGATTAATTATATTAGCACTTCAAATCTCATTTCAAAAAATATAGATGGAAAATAGCCCATTCTCCCAACTAATTAATATGATGTGAAAAATATGGTAAGTTTAATACACTTTTGTACAAAAGAATTATTCACTTTTTTCCAAATACTAGACGTAGCTGTTTCGTTTTGGACCCATCTGTATTTGAGCACCCATCTGATTAATTATATTAGCACTTCAAATCTCATTTCAAAAAATATAGATGGAAAATAGCCCATTCTCCCAACTAATTAATATGATGTGAAAAATATGGTACACTCAGTAACTTCTGATATTGCATTTCCCCGTCTAAATTAAACCAATGATTCCAATGGCGTCAAAGTTTCAAAATCACAATATCTGAAGTACGAAAAATATGGTAAAATAAAGGAATTATTCATACAAAAAAAAAAAGCCGTAAATTGAAAAGCATACTAGAACTATAATCATCAACTAAATAGATCTCAACCGTGGACAATAAAATCCAACTGACAACTCATACAATTCGAATATATGAGGAGGCTCCAAAAACAACTCACTGTGAATCGATAGTACACATTACAAAATCCCATCGTCAACAACAAAAATTAAATACAAATTGTATCCCATTATGAAATTATTAATCGAAAAATATCTACAATACAATGAAAATATAAGCTGACTGTGAAACCTGCGATTATAAACAAACAAGAAGATTTAAAAATAAAGATTTATATTTTCAAAAAGTTAAAAATTTATTGTTTTTCATGATTTTCTGATTAAACACGTTCCAATGAAGATTTTAGTAAAAAAAACAGAACTTAAAAATGATATAGATACAAAACCAACTTATTGAACAATTAATTTAAGTTCTAGACAACGTGGAAATGGAAAAAATAACATTACGACACCAAAAAAAAAGTAAGTAAAATCCATCTACAGAAATTGTAAACACAAACTGGTCGTGCAACGCGCAACAAAGAACAACCTAGTGTTATAAATAAATATTCCCTCTGTCTCAAAACTATTGTCCAGTTTGGATTTTCATATTAGACAATAATTTCAGGATTGGAGAAACATTATATATGATTGCGTATTTCGTTAGTGTTTCTTTTTGTTATGCATCTTACGCACTTGTTTCATCAAGGGATAAACAGCCGCAGGTTCCATATGGTTCACCCACTTTTGCTCCTATTTAGTTAGTAGTCATCATTTTAGACTTCTAAATTTTAGCTTTGGTTCGATGACCAAAAAAAAAGGTAAGAAAATTAATAATCTGGCTCTAGGTAGTAAGGTAGAAAATCTATTACTGATATTAAATTGATTTACTCATTGTAAAAAAAAGACAATAGTTAAAAAGATTTTGGATTATACCTTTCTCGGCCTTTTGGGTAAAATCAAGTGGAACAAGATTTTGGATTTTGGATATGGGTAGCTAGAAGACCTTCCCATTTCCTAGATGAACTCGAAAACCAAAAGTTAAAACACGGAAGTTAGTTACAAAACTATTCAGCTCACCGCCTCCTCAATGATATATAAATATAGGTTGCTAGTAAGTTCAGGTATTCATGAAGAAGAAAGCCCTAAACTTCTTTTTTAGGTTCCTTACATTTCGTTCGTCTTGGTCTTGCTTGAATCTTAAAGAGCTATTATAAAATCTCAAGAAGATATGGGGGATGTTGGGTTCCGATTCAAGGTTCTTTGGCTTCTTGAGCGTAAGGCTTTTGGGGAAAAGATCTCAAAGTACACAAACAGCGTTCTTGAAAAGGAGTTGTATGGTCGTGAGGCCAGCAAGGAACCCTGGAACGTTTTCTCTGATGTTCCGGATCAGATGTGGGAGCTTTACGACGAATCGGCAGGTAAGAACAGCCATATGAGAAGGGTTGTTTACGTTGTAACTAGATTGTCTCAGATGAGCCCAAAGAAGATCGGTAGATCGGCCGGTTGCGGAACGTGGAACGGGGAGACTACCAACAAACCGGTCCTGGAAGGTGGCAGAGTTATAGGGTATCATAAGCAGTTGACTTACACGGTGAAATCAAAGGCGGCAAACAGAGGATCTTGGTACATGCACGAGTATTCTTTGTCGGAGCAAGTTTTGAAACAACCAGGGATTAAGAGCACCGATTTCGTCATCTGTCGCATAGTTAGGGATGACTCAAAAGTTTTTAAGGTTAAGGATTCATCCTCCAAGACTACTGCTTGTTCAACAAGTAATAATGAGGCGGGTAGCCGGAAGCGTAAGGATTGTTGTGGAGACGTGACAAATATTCATAATCAAGATGATTATTCATCAGGAGAAATCATGGGATCATCATCAGCAGCTGGATTTCCAGATCCGCAAGGAGGAGGAGGAGGAGTAACGTTCCAAAACAATTGTTATTACAACTTCCCCAACACTAGTACTAGTACTGCTACGACGGTTGATGAAATCATGCCATATTCGGGTTATAATCAAGACGCGGATCCACAAGTAGTTCATCAGTCGGAAGAAGAAGTTCCGTTTCAAAATAATTGTTAAGATAACTTCCCCAACAATAGTACTAGTGCTACTACGGTTGATGAAAGCATGTTGTCATATTCGGGTTATAATCAAGGCGTGGATCCAGAAGTAGTTCATCAGCCGGAAGAAGGAGTTCCGTCCCAAAATAATTGTTACGATAACTTTTGCAACAATAGTACTAGTACTACTACTGTTGATGAAAGCATGTTGTCGTATTCAGATTATAATCAAGGAGGTGCTGATCCAGAAGTAGTTCATCAGCCAGAAGAAGGAGTTCTGATCCAAACTTATTATTACGATAACTTTTGCAACAATAGTACTAGTACTACTACTTTTGATGAAAGCATGTTGTCATATTCGGAATATAATCAAGGAGGTGCTGATCCAGAAGTAGTTCATCAACCAGAAGAAGGAAGTCAACAATATTCATGGGATGGAGCTATAAGTAGTTCTATTATTAACATTTGTGATGATTCGCCACCACGGACTGATACTTATCAGGAAGAGCTTAGTAGAGTTTCACAAGAAATTGATGAGACGTTTGGCTCATATTTCGCTGCCGAGGAAGCTGCCAAAATGATGCCGGCATGGTTTGATAACACCCATGACTTTTTCCAAACGGAGAAGCAGCAACAACAGATGCCTTGTGGCCTTAGTTTATGGAATGACTGAATCATGGGCTCCCAATTGAAGACCATTTTTATTGTGTGAAGGTGCCACAATTGAAGGTAATAGCGGATCATCAGGATACATTCTTCTTAGTTCATGGAGTATATGTAAATTTGTTGTTGAACAATGAGGCATTAAGAAAGGAATTTTGTTGTTGATCTCAACTTTCATAGTTTCTTGAGAATGCGAACAAAGCACTATGGCTGTTGGAATTTCATCCCTAATGTTATTTGTGATTTTGTCTCTAGCTCATGATCAGAACACATGTATACATGATCTACAGGATTAACAAGTCAACCTGCTCCCTTAAATTGGGGATTTCTTCGTCCCAATCATTTTATCTTTGGCATCACTAGTGATTTCTCAAATTTTTCCGTCCTTACAAAAATATGATGTTCTAGTTTCATAATCTTTTCATCCCAAAGAAATGAATTCACTTTATTGTATTATTGGTCTGAATTCATTTTGTAGTAAGACCAGCAAGTCAACTCGTGACAATTAATTGGTCTGGATTTTGGATTATGCACACTTTTGCCTTACAAAATAGTACCAGTCTGATAAAACAAAAGATGATGTAATTCATTCTTCTTTTTTTTTCCTAGCGGCTTCTAGCAACGATTAATCCATACCATTTCCTGGCACTAACTTATAAGAAATTTCAAACGTACAATTCTTAGAATAAAACATTGTCTCATTTCTCGGAGGAATTTTTTCTTATTTTGGGGTACGAAATTCTAAAGCATACAAAAGGGTGTATACAATGAATACATGGATTATAGACTTTTTTTTTTTTTTTTTGGTAAATTGTAAATTGTATTGATCACTTCACTAACTTTCTGTACAAGGTATAATTACATCAAGTATCAAAATTGAACCCTAATCTCATCATAAATTGCCTCTCACTAACTTTTAGTTTTTTCAACTTCAAACAAAATGGAACTCTCCACCTAATCTCTTGCTGAATTTTACTAAAACAGCATTCCACCTCACATCTTACATCTCTGAACTTTAGTTCCTTTCCATCCAAACATGGTAAACAGTAGCATTGAGTACAGCATAAAACACTCTCTTTTGCAGCTTGTTGTGCCTCCACAGTTGCAGCATTTCCTGAGCATTCAACTTGTCTGGGATGATTGTTATCCCCAGCCAGTCTTTCGTCATTTCCAGCAATCTTTTAGAATACACACACTAAAAATATAGATGACCAGCAGTTTCATTTTCTGTTTCACTCAGAACGCACCTTATGTCACCAGCAACTATATTCAACTGTTGCAATCTCTCCCCAGTAGTCAATCTATGTTTCCAGGCCAACCAGCTTATAAAGCTCTGTTTTGATACTGAATAACAACACCAAACTACCTTTGCTGCACGATCCTTTCTATTTTCTCCTCTTAGCCATTTGTATCCACTACTTGCTGTGTACTGTTTTTACCTCATCAATGCTAATCCTAGCTTTCATATCCTCTTTGACTCTCAATAGTTTCTTCCAGTGCCAACTGCTATTTTTTGGAGTTCTACAATCCCATACTGATCTTCCTTTTATGTAGTAAATATGCATCCATTTAACCCACAAACTTTCGTTTCTGTTACTCAGGTCCCATAACTGTTGAGTAATCAGGGCCTTATTCCACAAACCAGGTTCCTTGATATTTAAGCCTCCTTCTGATTTCTTCTTACATACATCATTCCATGCTATTAGAGACAACTTCCTTCGCTCCTCCTTGCTTCCCCAAAGGGACTGTTTACAAACTTTGACTATATCTTGAATCACATTCTATGGAATGAGGAAAATGCTAGCCCAATAGGAGTTTAAGTTCGTCAAAACAGCATTAATAAGTAAGGACCTGCTTGCATATGACAAATGCTTAGATGTCCAACATTTTATCCTTGCAGTGACTTTATCCACCATGCTTTGACATTCCATTTTGCTCCATGGAGTTGGTGATATTGGCATCCCAAGATACTTCATAGGAAAGCTTCCCTTCTCAAATCCAAATATGGATTGGATTTGATTAGCTATAGTATCAGATACTCCTGCCACATAGACATTAGATTTATTGAAGTTGACTCTCAATCCAGTGGTAGCTTCAAAGTTTTCCATTATCTTCTTCACTCTTGTCACAGTATGAAGATCAGCACCACACAAAATGATTAGATCATCTGTAAAACTTAGAGAAGTTATTTTCAGTTTATCACAATAAGGATGGAACTGAAACCTTCTTTACTTGCTTCTGTTTTGAACATTCTAGTTAGATACTCCATCACAATTACAAAGAGGAGGGGTGACATCGGATCACCTTGCCTCAAACCTCTTCTCCCTTGGAAAAAGCCAGTACTGCAACCATTAATATTCAGAGAGGAGGTTGTTGTTCTAATACATTCCATGATCCAACCTATCATCTTTGGTGGAAAACCATATTCCTGTAACATCTCCTCTATAAAACACCAGTGTATAGAGTCATAGGCCTTCCTGAGATCCACCTTCATCAAGCAGCTTGGCCTTACATTTTTCCTGTTATACAGTCTTACCAATTCCTGTGTAAGTAGATTATTTTGCAAGATAGATCTGCTTTTCACAAATGCTCCTTGGTTGATATCAATCAGTTCATCAAGAACACTGCTCAGCCTCTTGCAAATCATTTTAGATATGCACTTATATACAGTGTTACAGCAGGCAATAGGCTGGTATTCAGTAGCATCTTTAGGCACAGCTACTTTAGGAATCAAGGCAATCAAAGTTGCATTTAGCTGCTTCAACATTCTGCCTGTTTTAAAAAATTCTATAACAGACTTACAAACATCTTCTTCTACAATGGACCACATAGCTTTGTAGAACCCACTATTGAATCCATCAGGGCCTGAACTCTTATTAACATCTATACTGAACATTGCTTCCTTCACTTCAGCCTTAGTGAACTCCTCAGTCAGGAGAATTTGCTATTTAACAGACAATTTGATCCCTGTACTGAAAAAGCTACTTTGGATTGATGTTTTGGTCACATTTGTTCCAAGAAGCGACTGAAAATACTCCAAGAAATGCATTTCCACCAAATCTGCATCTTCAACCAGAATTCCTTGATCATCACTGTAGGCTCTGATTTTGCTTCTTGATATCTTTTTCTTTAAACTGGCATAGAAATATTTAGTATTAAGATCACCTTCCTGTAGCCATTTCTCCTTCAGTTTTTGGTTATAGAAGCTAATCACTGCTTTTCCTGCTAATACACACTCCTTTGTTGCTTCCTTTTCCTCCTGTTGAAATTGTGTATTATAGGGATCAGTCTTCAAAGCTTCTTGTACGTCTTCCAATTTTTTCCTCCATTGTAATTCTGCCACTTCAATGTTTAATTTCCTTTTGTTCAAGTCTCTGAGCGGTTTCTTCAACATTTGTTGCTTTTTGATCATTCTATATTGGCATGTCCCCTCCACCTCCTTATTCCAGCATTCTTTCACTATGGTCTTGCATTCCTGATCTTGTAACCACATATAAAAAACCTAAAGGATTTCTTCTTTCCAACATATTCTTCTCCCCACTTTACTAGAAGAGCATTATGATCTGAAATCCCTACATTCAATACTGTGGTATAAGATTCAAGAAAAGCATTCTCCCAATGTTCATTGATGAAACTTCTATCCAACTTAGACATTATTCTCATATCCCCACATTGCTTGTTGCTCCATGTGAAGAATCCTCGCACTGACATCTCCCATAAGTCACATTCCTCAACCAACTGTTTAAATTCCCCAGAATCAGAGTTCATTTCTTCCTTGCCACCCAATCTCTCATTCTGTTACATAACACAATTAAAATCCCCTAACATCAACCAAGCTTCATTAATCCCCTGTGAAAGAATTTTCAGACTCTCCCAAAGTATGCTTCTCCCTTGAGCTAAATAATCAGCATATACCAAAGTGAAGTAAAATTGCTTTTTACACTCCAATTCAGTAACATGACAATGTATAAACTGACTATCCACTTTGATCACCTTTACCACATAATCATCTCTCTTCCATAGCATCAATATTCTCCCTTTATTTTGATTATCATAATTACTTACATGACAGTAATTGTATCCATCTCTTTTCCATTAGCTCCTTCACCTTTTCACCTTGTAATTTTGTCTCCAACAAACCCATAATACCAACATTATTTACAGAAAGGTATTGATCTACCTCTCTGTGTTTCAGGAGATTATTAAATCCCCTTATATCCATGATAGTATGTTATTCATAGATATTAGGCCCTGGATCAGGGTTACTAGTTCCTTGATAACAAATAATATTGATGGATCTATTTTTCACATCACCTCTACTGTCAGGCATCTTTATTCCTTTATGGTTTAATATCTGTATGCTTCCTTCTCCATTCTCAGTGATACTCTCCTTTCTTAGTGATGCTGTGTTAATTTTTGGAGATTGCTGTTTTGGACTTTCCACCACCACAGCTTGTTTAGAGACTTGAATTTCCTTCTGTTTTCCCTCTGGTTTGGGAGACCACTTCTTTTCAACTGGCTTCTTGCATTGTTTCAGATCATAACCATATCCACTGCAGTTGTTACATTTCAGTAGTTTCCATTCATAAATCACTTTCTGTTCTTGCACAACACCTGTTTCATCTTCAAACCATACCTCCTCTTTAAGTTTCTCCCTGAATTTAACCTCCACTAGAACTCTTGCATATGCTGCTCTGAGCTTATTTTCTGTCATATCATCCATTTTAATAGGCTTACCAATCATGCTGGTAAGCTTACTGAGAGAGGTGGCATTCCAATATTTAAGTTTTAAACCTGGGAGTTGAATCCACACAGGGATTGAGCTTAGTTCCTCCACATTAATTCCATCTTGTGCATCCCAATCTTTCACTATCAATGGATGATTATCAAACTGGTGAATGTTCTATTTTAGCACCTCCTCCTTATCATTCAGAGCAGGTCTTTGTGGGTCGTGCTCGACTAGCAGGTCTTATTTAAACCCGGTGCTCGACTAGCAGGTCTTTGTGGGTC